TCTCTCAACTTTCATCATGTAAGAAGCCCTTTAATTACTCTGCTTCCAGTCTTGGACTACTTTCAGAAAGGTAACTGCAATTTTTCTTGTTCTAATTCTAATTCATTTGCTTAAGAATTCATTGGGTAGTTTACAGCTTTTCCTAAAAGAGACATGAACAATATGTATTTCTTAAGTTCTTGAGAATTTCAACACTAATGCTAATGCATGATGCTCTGCATCCTCTATATTTTCCAAAGACAATCCAATTCAAGGAGTTCAATATCAAAATAGAGATGTTCAGTCAATTGGGTTCTTTATATTTGTCCATTTTTTGCGTTCTTTAATTTTGATTTTGCAGGTTTGCTTCAGGATCTGGAGGCCATTTTTGCTTGAGCTAGAAGGGTGAAGAACAGAAATGCATGCCTGGTATGTAATATTTTCTGAATTTGCAGAGTTTCAGCTGTTGAGTTTTGGATTGATAATAAGTTATGGTGCAGAGAGCTTACTCTTTCACAGCCTCACAGCTTGTTCAAAAGGAATAAGGACAATTGGAATTTGTCTTGCAAAATTTACTCTACGCCATTCTCTCTGATTCTTCTCTGTTTTTATAAATATTATTTTGTTTTAAAATATTGGAATGAACGGTCTCGATCCATTGACATCTTTCATGGGTGGACTGATACTCTTGGACGGTGGGGATTCGGGATGATGGTGGATAAAGTTTGGAATCACGTCTTTATGTCACCTCAAAACGTTTTTTTAGTTTTGTTTTCCGTTGCTTGAGGCTCTTTTTTCCTTTTTCTCTTTCAAGTTTAATTTAAATGTATTTGCACTTGAATATTTTTTGTTATTTTTTAATATAAGCGATAGTCTAAATCATAGGAGAATTGAGGTTTTTAAACACACACTACCACGGTGCTACGGGTATTCGAAATTGAGACCATTAGTATACAAGTCAATACCATTTTCCAATTAGGCTAGACTCCGTTGGCTTGAATCCTTTTGTTATTAATAGAGAAGAAGAAATTCGAATTCGGGATCTCTTTCAACATTCGGAAAATAAGTTGTGTGCAATTGAATTGAGGTTCTTCAATTTTATCGAAACAATATTTATGAAGATACTCTTATAATAAAGCTACGTCACTGAAATGGATTAACTATAATTGGATATCAAATTCATCACAAATATTTATACATATATATATCAAATCGTAGTTGATAGAACTCAATTCCAATTGAAAAACTAAATTAATGATGTGAAATGCTTAGGTAATTAATGTGACTTGTTCATGTGCGGTTGGGTATGTGTAGCAATAGTCCATTGTACCCGGCTGAGACGTGAGCTGCAGTATTGATTCCTTGTCATTTTGTTTGCAGTAATTTGTACCAAGATGTGAGAATGCTTATCAACATCAACAATTAGGAACCAGCCTGGGTTGATTCGATTGCTATCTAGAAGCATCCCCTCCTATCTCTTTTGCACCTGCAAGGTACTCTCTCTCTCTCTCTCTCTCTCTCTCTCTCTCTCTTAAAATGCTTCGTTTTAACAATGATAGGACAAATCACTAGATACAAAATGATAGGAAAAGGTCTTAAGCTGAAAGCCCAACCTTGTGGGCCAACACACATCTTGAATACGACCATATTTGGTGGCCCACTTGATGACAAACTCGACAAATATAACCGTATTATTGATTTTTTAGAAGTTCTTTTAATTTGGATTATATAACGCAAAAATAGAGAATGATGAAATATTCAAAATACTAAAAAAAATACTCTTATTAATGAAAATATTACAAATAAATTATTTATAAAATAAAAATAATGTAGTAAATTACCAATTTTTTATATTATCTTTTTTAAATAAAAACAAAATCAGAAGATGGATCATATTTTCATCGAACACAACTAGACCTATCTGCTAATTTACAAGTGATTAGAAAAGTTACCGTGTTTGGTATGTGTATATATCAAACCAGTAAGATCAACCATTCTAGTCAAATTTGCAAAATTCCAAAATTTGGTCGAAAGTGGAATTCCCACTACCGATCATGGGGTATTACTTGAACACCAAGATCATCGTCCCCGGATATAGGTCATTATGGTATAACATTAAAGATAACTTTCTGTTGAAAAAAATTCATTTTTCGTGTATAAGTTATTTTGGACGCATGGAAGAAACGTATTGTTTTGGCAAGTAATGCTATTATGGAATGCTAATGTGGATTACCAGTAACACACACACACACGCACAAATACAATGCATACTTTGGAAGCATAAGTTTTTTTTTTCTTCCTCAAAACAAATTTGGAAATTTTTTGTAATGAAAAATCTTTGTACAACGAGGCTTTCACATAGATGAAGAGGATATGGTGTGGTGATTACTTTCCATTTTGACATTGATGCATGCATTAGTGTTACCATCAAGTTAAATAGAATGTAAGACTTACAAATTTACAAGTGATTGGCAAGTTATTACCATATTCTTTTTCGCCAATGCTACAAATGTGGCTTTAAGTTGAAGTCAAGAATTTTTCGAGGAATTACAAATCCTAACAACTATGCGCCCGTTTGATAATCATTTCAATTACAAATTCATTTTAACTAAGGGCTCGTTTGATAACAACTAAGGGCCCGCTGGCCTGTCTCTCTGAAATTTAACACTTTTTATACCAAACAAACAAAAAAAATACAAATATGCATTTTATGGTAGCCGGGTTCTTTCCATTTTATCTTACCTTCTGAAAGGAGACGGACAAAACAGGAGAGGATCATTACGGTATAACATTAAAGCCTTCACACTGGCTTCTGAAAAAGTAATATTGATTTTCAAGGGTTAGGTATTTTGGCTTGACAAAGGAAGATGTGCATGTCATGGCTTCTTTTTTTTCTTTTTTCTTTTTTCTTTTTTTTTTTTCCAGAGAAGGACTTTTATTAAAGATGAACGCTTACCAACAAGAGATACAAAAATACAATGTGTAATGTATTTGCATATTTTAACAATTCAATTGAAATGAGTATCACTGTACAGGATACCCAAATTTGGTTATGTTTGCTTCACAAGTTTTTTTGTACGTGTATTCATGATTAGTGATGCTCATTTAAATTCTAACTTGGCAATGGCAGTCTGAATTCTTCTGTGTGACAGGAAGGAACTTCTGGTTGATTGGAGAAATTGTGACTTAAATGGCTAGAGTTTGCTGGCCATACTTTGATCCTGAGTATGAGAACCTGAGCACAAGAATCAATCCCCCAAGGTATTGTAGTCTCTGCATGAACAATTTAATCAAAATTCGGTTTGTGTTTCACAGTTTCAGTTAGCTAGTGGTCCCATTGTCATGATTATAGTAGGAATTTCATTGTTCATAGGTTAGAATGTGCTGCGAATATCAAATCCTTCGTCGTGCTATTGTAAACTTTGCATTTCAATATATAAAATGTTGGGTCTATACTCAATTCATTGCCAATTAGTTTTAGGTTGGATACTCAACCTGTAGTGCTCTGATACCATCAGCGCTTAGCATTTTCCGGTGCTAATAAGTGGTGATGGAATGCTGAGACTAATGAGCACATTTGTTTATATTATATCTTCTAGTAATTTCACATCTCTACATAAATTTTATGCAGGGTATCTGTAGACAACTCTAGCTGCAGTGACTGTACTCTAGTCAAGGTGATTTTAACTTATAGCCATAAGAATTATGCTTGCCGTTGACACCTGGTTCTTGCAATGAATCATGGCATGGTACCTTAAATTAGTTTCCTGGTTTTCACACAAAAAGTTAGCTTGAAGAATTATACAATGCCACTAGCTATTTGCCTGTCTTGTATAGAAAAATTGATTCTCTAAAGGTTTGCGTCCAATTAATACCTGGTTGTAGAATGAAATTTAGAGGTAAATTTAACTTGAAACGAAACATATGCCTTCGAACTCCTGCTGGAAAACCGTCCACAGACAGGATTTAATTTGCTTCATTTTCATGTTACATTCAGTGAACATATATTCCAGCCATCATGTTGAAATTGGTGTGGGGGGTATGAAATGTATGTGTAGGTCGATAGTGTCAACAAACCCGGAATTCTGCTTGAAGTCGTGCAAATCTTGACAGACCTTGACCTCATAATCACCAAAGCCTACATCTCCTCTGATGGCGGATGGTTCATGGACGGTATGTAACTTTTTGTTTATTAAGTATTGTTTTTTTTTTTTGTTAGTTAATCTCCTCTCTCTGTGGCAAGAAAGTAATTGCCATGTGAAATCTGCAGTTCTTGACTTCAACTCTTTAACAAATAAGAATTTGATTATCCCATCCCTCTCGCCCCCTCCCCCCCCCCAATGTGAATCAAATTAATATATGACAGTTTTCTTTGATAAACAGTATTTCATGTCACCGATCAACAAGGAAAAAAACTTTCAGACAGCAAAACCATTGACTACATAGAGAAGGTATGCCCCTTGGTGGTTCTTTCTTTTTTGTTTTGTTTTTTCGGTGAAACCCTTGATGCTTCTTTCTTGCCACATGCATTTCTGTGCATCTATGAAATTTACAACAATCACCTGTATGAAAATCCCCTTTATCCCAAAGTGGATTTAATAATTTTCTTTACTAGAAAATGCAGAGGCTTGTAAAACCTTGCATTAAGGGTTTGTTTCATGTGATCATATTAAGAGCAATTGTTGTCTATGATTTGTGACATGCATAGGCTTTAGGACCCAAGGGCCATATCACAGATGTACTGAAGGCCTGGCCAGGAAAACGGGTTGGAGTGCACTCTGTTGGTGATCACACAGCCATTGAGCTCATTGGCAGAGACCGGCCAGGCCTCTTATCCGAGATCTCTGCTGTCCTTGCCAATCTTCACTTTAATGTAGTTGCTGCTGAAGTATGGACGCACAATAGAAGAATAGCCTGCGTTGTGTATGTCAACGATAATTCTACATGCCAACCTGTGGATGATCCAAACAGATTATCTACCATGGAAGAGCAGCTCAAGAACATCCTGCGTGGGTGTGAGGATGATGAGAAAGTTGGTCGTACAAGCTTCTCTATGGGGTTCACCCATGTTGATAGGCGGCTACACCAGATGTTGTTTGCTGATAGGGATTATGAGGGTGATGGACTAGCAAATGAAGTTGATCACTATCCTCCCTGCTTCCAACCGAAGATCACGATTGAGCGTTGTGAAGAAAAGGGATACTCAGTGGTCAGCGTCCGGTGCAAAGACCGCGCAAAGCTCATGTTTGATATTGTATGCACACTCACAGATATGCAATATGTTGTTTTCCATGCCACCATTTCGTCTGATGGACCGTACGCATCACAGGTATATGCATTTGATGCTCATCTGATGGCCTATTCGCAAGTTCTCCAAATTAAGTTTCTCCAGCAGATCATTTTAAGTGGTTGCTTTTCTGTTTTCTTGAAATTATTCTCTGGATTATGAAAAGGAAATATTCTTTCATACAGACTACATATATAATATATTGGTATGTTAATGCAGAAGCTCATTAATTGTTACTACAATGTTCCACATCTGTGATGATCACTGAAGTCTGGTCACACCAATGTAATCTGGTATCTTGAGTTTATAGACTGAACTCTGATGCAAAGTCTCTAATTAGTTTTCTATTGGAATAAGTACTGGTGTGTTGCCTTCCAATAGATATAAGAAACAGAATGCGCTATCCCGTTGAATTCGCATGTCTTGAATCTCCTTGAAGATTTGATTAAAGTACCTGAACTGATGCATATAGTTAATTGCAGGAGTATTTTATTCGTCACATGGATGGTTGCACCCTTGATACTGAAGGAGAGAAGGAAAGGGTCATCAAATGTATTGACGCTGCAATTCGGAGACGAGTAAGCGAGGTTAGTGAAAAATATATCTACATTTAACGCTCATTTTAGCTTTGTTAATAGGATAAGTACAATTTACAAGTAATGTTGTATTCTTGAGTTCAAGTGGCTAACAAAATGAGGGGAAAAAAACGACAGCTCATTGACTACTAAAACTATTGTAAATTTTTTCACTAGTCAGGATTATATATTTGTAAACATTAATGGATAGCGAATACAGCAAAGACATGCTTTCTTGACCGTTTTAAAGGTATCAAATTACCATGAAATTCAGGATCTAAGGCTAGAGCTATGTGCAAAGGATAGAGTAGGCTTGCTATCTGAAGTAACAAGGATCCTGAGGGAGAATGGGCTGTCAGTAACAAGAGCAGGCGTCACAACTATTGGGGAGCAAGCAATGAATGTCTTTTATGTTAGAGATTCTTCAGGCAATCCAGTGGACATAAAGACCATCGAAGCACTTCGTAAAGAAATCGGGCACACAACGATGTTCAATGTGAAGAAAGTACCAACAAGTTCTAAGGCACCTGAGACGAAGGGATGGGGCAAGACAAGCTTCTTCTTTGGGAACTTGTTAGAGAGGTTTTTGGCTTGACATGATGTCAATATGAATGTAAAAGGCACATTGAAAATGTACAGAAGAATAAATCTGTTCAGTAAGTCATCTGAACAAAGTTTCTGCATTTGTACACTTTGTATAATATGCATGCTTGTAACTTGTAACTTTTGGAATTTGCACAACGCCTTTCTTTTTTTACTTCTTTTTGACATTTTGATTGTACTCCTCATCACTATTATGACTTTACTTTCATTATACAACTTACAAACATTTACCTTTCTTAATTTCTTGTGTTAGCCAACTACTCTCTTCAACCACAAAAACTTAAGCTAATGTATAACAAGTTGGCGCCCTTCCTCATGTGCATCTCATTCTCCATATATAGGCATAACTTCATCATACACCTTGCAATTATTATTATTATTATTTAGTACAAGCGATTAGAGGAGGGGGTTTACGCATGAATGAAGTGGAAGAGTTCACCCCAGTGAGCTATACCATACACCTTGCAAGTTAACAAAGTCGAGATCATGATTGGAGATCCCAATTTGAACACCAAGAGAGGCGGAGCTAGAAAACTTTTTATGAAGTGGCTCCAAATATCTTAATTGGAGGGGCCATTACATGAATTTTTGTTTCAAAATTATAAATAAATAAATAAAAAGGCTACAAATACCTTAGAGGAGTACATAAATCTACATCTAGATTGAGGGATGAAAGGCCATCAACCTACATAAGGCTACACCACTGAACACACCAACATGAAATTTTCTCCTGTTGATTAAAGAAAGGTTGACAGTAGGCTAGACTACCTAGGCAAGGAAAAAAAAAAAAAAAGAATTTTCTCCTGCTCTACTCTTGGATGTTTTAGGTGGTGGTGTTTGTAGATGCATTTCTCTGTAGGTTTTCTACTTTTTTGTATATATAAAAAAGATAATAATAATAAGAGGAAGAAAAATAGGAGAAAAAAGAGAAAAGAAGAGAGTTGGGCATACGAAGTGGAGGAGAGTGAAGAAGGAGAGGTTGAGGCACGGGCTGGCTTCGAGAGAGGAGGAGAAAATCTTCTGTTCATGCCTTTGTCTTGGGTGATGAAACTGGACTGGGTAATGAATACTGTGCTGGACAACTTCATTTTTTTCAGGAGGGTTGGGCTAGGCTACCTAAGCATGGAAAGATATCTTAAAATTTGGGTCGGGCTTCACCCTACCTATATAGGATTGGACACGTGCTTGGTTTCTAGAAATTAAGCGAGCATCTCCTACACATATGAGCTCAATCAATCGTGATTCTAGCTGAATTGCATAATAATTAGAAGAAGAGGATTGTGAAGAAATATCCAAAGAAAACTAATAATGCTTAACATTAATGTGGCTCTCATTAATCTTATTTTCAAAGAAACAAAGAGACATTTCTTGTAAAAGGCTGATAGATTTTCTCTACTCTCCCAAGAGGAAAAAACTACTATTCATCAGCAAGGAGAGTAGTAGGAATAATACATTAATAATCACTATAATTATGGATTCCAAGGAAAGCACTTGTCTACCGCATGAGGCATCCCTTCAACTTTCCTGCATGCACCATTCGGTATTATGAGCCAGTCACAGTTCTTCACGCAGTAAGGTTTGTCTCTCAGTTGTATGTATATATCAAACCAATAAGATCCGCCATTCCAATCAAATTTGCAAAAATATTGTGTAGAATTCCAAAAATTTGGTCGAAACTGGAATTCCCATGATCCATTAGGGGGTATTACGAGAACGCCAAGATCGTGATCCTTGGATTTACAATGAACCGTAAGGTCGACGCCTAAACGCAAATAGTTGATGATTTTGACATGCGTTTTAGGATTGACGATCGCTGCATAACATGTAGTTCTTAGCATCAGAAGAAATGTTAGCACCACCACAGTTCTAAAAGGGACAGCCATGCTTGCTTGTTTGTATTTTTAGTGTATGAACGAAGGGAAAACGTGGTTCTTATGGTATATATATACCATAAACAAAGTCAAATATGTCTAGTTGTGTATTTTATAGAAAGATGACCCTTTCCTTTTATGTTCAAATTTCTTTAAAACACAATTCTTAGCCAAGGGAAAAGGGGAGTAACAAGAGAAGGCGAGGATCTAGGTTCGGCATATTTTAATTCAGTCCAATGATTGTATTCAATTGGGATTTTAAAAGACCATTTTGGGATAAATAAGTCCAGTGGATTTTAAAAGACTATTTAGGAATGTAATTTCTTATAGGATTTTATTTTTGGATTTCTTTAATCAAGATTTTTTACTTTTAGATTTTAAAAGGTTTTATAAGATTGGAAATGACAACATGGATTTATATCTAGACCTTGGCTAATTAACTCATGATGCATGTGTCTGCCTACTTTTCTCATTTGGAATCTTTTTGAAAACAGAATGGAAAAAGTTTAATGAGATTGTTTGGACCATAAATGAAAAGTGGCCCATTAAGGAGCATTGGGGTCTAGGGCTTTAGCGGTCAAATCCTCCGTACAATGGTCAAATCCTCCATACGATGGTGAAATACCATTTCATAAAAAATAAAAAAGGAGCATTGGGATCTTTAAACAAGAATTCTATAGTGAGAGCCTTATACATGACTCTTAGGTGAGGTCCTATCTTTTAACCGTTAGATATTGCCAACCAATTTGATCCAACGGCTAAAGAATAGGGCCTCAATTAAGGGCCATATATAAGGTCCTCACTATAGAATGACTAGGTCTTTAAATAAGCTTTGGGCCGAGAATTTGGATCAAGGGAAAAGTTAGATTTTAGATTGGATCAAAATGGGCCCAAATCATTGTGGCCCAAACCGATTTGTTTTTTTCACCCAAGGCTATTACCTAGAGTCTAAATGCGTTTATTACACTTTACCCAAAAAGACTTCATTTGACTTTGGCAACTAAGGAGGTTTTAGGTGGTAAGCTAAGAACTGAGTAACCACATTAAATGCGATTTGACCGTTGAAGCCATATTAAGCCAACTTGTCGGAAAATTACAATGCTGAAGCCATTTCTCACCGTCAGCATAAGGATATCAAAGCATTTAAGTTTACCGTTGTTAGTGCAAATATCTGCACGAGGGAATATTCGTGGATTGATTCTTCAACCTTCGAGCTTCTTTCTCTCTCTCCTTCCTTGGTTCTTGCGAAAAGGGTTGGAGTTAACAGACCACACTAGGAGATGTTGGCCAAAGGCCCTCTGATGCCTAAGTCAGTTAGATGATCTTGAGAAAGATACAAAAATAACAAAGAATGTCGAAGTTTTCTCTACGATACAAGAGAACTGGGTGGCTGGAGTAGTTTGTAAGGGTGGCCAGAGCCGTGAAGGAGAAAGCAGAGAGAGTGGCGTGAGAGAGGGAGTTTCTAGGGAAAAAATTGGATTATCTCAAATGTGTTGTATAGCCATGTATTTAGGGATTTTTATAGAAATTCACCTGAACTTATACATCAGTTTCAGTTTGTCACCTTGAAGAAAAATTTAAGCAAAATGTCACCTTAAGTTTTCAAAATCCATGATTTGTCACCTGACTTTAACATCATCCAATTCTCCATCCATTTTGAAGGGTATTTAGTCTTTCCAATATGTAAACCCTCTTTTTTATATAATTTAAATATAAAGCTATGTAAACCCTCTGGTTTGGAAAAACTAAAATACCCTTCAAAATGGATGGAAAATTGGATGATGTTAAAGTTAGGTGACAAATCATGCATTTTGAAAACTTAAGGTGACATTTCGCTTAAATTTTTCTTTAAAGTGACAAAGTGAAACTGATGTATAAGTTCATGTGACATTTCTACAATTATCCCACGTATTTATAGTGCTCTTGCCTTCTAGGGTTTTTTCATAGAATAATCCCATAAGGAAGGGAATTATTCTCTCCCTTAAATGGAGAGATTGGATCAATCAGGGAGATTTAATGAAAATCAAATCCCTAAGTTATGGTGATATCCCTATCTTAAGTCTAAAAAATTGGCTCATTAAATGGAGCACAATTGTTGACCTAAGGAATATTCTCATTGTCCACATGGCGCCTCATGATTGGCTGTTGAAATCAGGGACGAACCTTAAGTTTGGCTAACCTAGGTTATAGCCCAAGTGGCTTCTTTTTTTCCTAGCCAAAAAAAAATCCTAGCTCACCCAATTTTAATAACCTAGCATCCTTTTATTCTCCTCCTTGAACAACACGTCGTCAATAAAAAGAGAAGAAAAAAAAGAACTCACACACAGCACAACACGTAGAAAGAAAAGAGAAAAAAGAACTCACACACAGCACATAGAAAAAAAAAAAGAAAAATAAAAAAGAAGAAGCACCCTACCCTTGCACGTAGGGAAGAAGAAAAAAAAAAAAAGAACGCACTTGTTGCTGCTACACTCACCTTCAAGACTCAATTCAAGTGAACCAAGTCCATATATTCATGAGGTAAGCTTCTCTCAATTTGTTGATGTTTTAATTTGAGGATTTTTTTTTTTT